TCATTCGAATTTAGAAGATTTTCAGGTGATTATACACTAATGAAAACATACCTATAAATATTATATTCCATTTCTGCCCATTGAGCCAAACTGTTATACACTGGACCTTCAAGATGTGATTCTATATTTACATGTCGCTTTTAACTTTTAACCATCTTCAAAATGTGGTTGTCTTTTTAACATAGTGAGCCTAGCACATAGCATATCTCAGTACTGGAAGCTTGCTCAACTGTTATTGGAGCACGGAGCAAAAAGCAAGCAAAAGGGTCAATTATCTTAGTTATTTATAAATCTTAGAAAAATTTAAAACAATAAGATTTCCACAAATAACTGTTTAGTGTTAATTGTTAGTTTGACCTTTGTGCAGTCAAACCAGAGTAAAGTGATTTCAAATGATTTCAAATGATTTCAAAAGTATTTATGTAATTATGAGTAACATGAGTGTAATTATAATATATATATAATCAGGGTTGAGTGAGGTCTTTGCTGAAACGTGTATCCAGTACAGATAATGTACTTAGTTATGAGCACAAGTATCATCAGGGTAAAAAGTGTTAATATCCGTACTCTTAAATTAAGCAATTTATATTCTTTTTAAAACTAATTCTGTAAATAGTTTTCTTACTTTTGTGATCAAAAAACGTTGCTCTGAAGCTCTGTTCTCTCATAAATAATAAAAATAAACAACTTCTGATAGCAACCCATATCAAAACTCTGCACTGGATCAACTTAAAACTTCTTGGTACATGCAGTATTCTGAGCCTGATAAAGCAAATAGAAGTAAGCGGATTATATTGACAAAAATGAGAATAAAAGGACTATTTAGAGAAAGTGAAAATTCATTAATTACAGTAATAGAACAATTATCAGGAAGGAAATGTTGATTAAATAGCTGTTAAATATGGTGTATATATCAAAATATCTTATATCTCATCTTTCTGGATCCTCATGCAATCCATAATAAAATTATCTAAACTGATTGTTCACCATTTTGCGAGTCTATTTCTATAGTGCCGATTGCCCCTTAGACAGATTATCGACTTTATATGGAGTTTTTGTAGTCAAAAATTGATAAATGCAGCTTTAAAATCAACTAAGGACTAACTAAGGTTCTAGATGTAACAGTTAATGGAGTTTCTACATGAAACCCATTTCAACAGGGATGTGTTAGTGGGTTTTAGAGGGAAAAGAATATTTTACTTCGAGCATATTTTTTGGAAGTAATGATAGGATTGGCTGCTTTGATTGATTGTAGTGATTCTAGTTTGATCATTGATTGACTGTGAAGACTACATAATCTTCAAAACCTAAGGGATTCCTTAAGACAAAAACCCATACTGTTTTTAACATTTGCCCTTCAAGCAAACAGGAGTACATGGGTACAATGTTCTTGTGTTTCATTATGCTGGAGTAGCTAGTGTGTAGCTGCTGTTCAATGATACAGTAATATGATGCTGCCACCTACTGGAGGCAGCTAGAGGCATCATGGGTCTTCCACTTGGTTACAGTTTTCTTCATGTTTTATTTACATAGCTAGTACAGCAGTGGTGAAAAGTCTGGATATGTAGTTTATACTGAAAAAGATTCAGTGTAAAATTCTTTGTGTTTGTGGGGGCATCTGGCAATATCACCAACACCAGCTCATACAAGGGGTATATTTTCAGTGTTTTGAGTCAAACTCCCAGGAAGTGCCATGATCACACAGTTTAGGAAAAATAATCACTTTATTTTGGATATGTCACATTTAGACATGTTCAGAAATTGTTGAACACAGTGGAGTTGTGTCACATACACACTGTCACACGTCCCCACACACTTCAGGGCCCCGAATTTACAGTCCTACATTCAAAGGATTACATTGACATAAAAATTTGTTTATTGATGTAGAAGTGAATTGAAGTATAACTAAGTAATAGTTTTGCTAGAGGTCGGTATGTTGGAGCAATAATGAACTATGAGCTATGGTTAAAGCTCTGGGAAAAAGGGAGGGAAATATGAAAGTAAAATATACGAATGCTGAATGTGCACTTATGCCTTGCAACAGTCAAGTCAAACAGACGTTTTGGGACCCTGGGAATGAAACTCAGCTATCTTTCATGGCTCTGATTGGTTGACACCTAACACCATTAGGAGCACTAGGAGGAACCTAATTTTTTCTCTGATTATCTGTCTCATGTTCTGTCAGGATATAGTGAATGTTTCAGAAAATATGATTTAGTTTTTTAATAAAAATTACCTACTGCAGCTTTAATTGCTCAACTACACCTGGGCAAGACAAGGGAAGCAAAACTCTCTGAAATATTAAGTTATTTTTCAAGGTCAGTTGAAAAATATCAAAATTATAATCTGATTTGGATAATGTGTCAATCCTGCTCAAACAGTGGCTCAATGAAACCAAGAACGGAAGCCACCACAGGTGGTGTCCCTGTAACATGGTTTAATTAAAAGTTTCATTTTATTATAAATAAAAACCTTAAAAATACTGCACAGTCTGTAAAGACACTGCCGTTTCTGTACAAAACATTGATCAAACAAGTGTGGAAATGCCAAAAAACTAAAATGCCAGACTCACTAACAAACTTGGGTCACTAACAACCCTAACAGTTTGTTTACTCAAGGGACCACATGAACACACCATGTGCACAGTTGAGCATCTGTCTCATCATCATCAGGAAAACAGTTGAAACATAACACCTGCTTCACACAGAACAACGAGACCTCCAGGTAATGCACGTAAAACTCCACCAAAAAAAGAATGTGTAGCGTTCCTTGATAAAAGGCTGGCTGGGAAATTAAGTTAGTCCAAACAGGAACTACTGGTCCATGAACTCCTTCAACCATTAAAACACTCGATCGAACTCAGTCTGGCTGGTGGTGGCTGGGTTTCTGTTCTGATTGGGCTGCTGCTGCGGCATGTGCCCCCTCCGCCTGGGCGGGGCCAGATATTCAAACATGGAGGTGTTGTGGGTGGAGAGCATGTTCTTCAGATCAGACGGCATGGGGTCGGACCAGAAGAAGTCGTGGTTGAGCGCGTCGTCGCTGTCTATGCGCTGTGCCGGGTCCAGGACCAGGAGTTTGTCGATCAGATCCAAGGCGTACGGGTCCTTGACGTAGGCTTTGAGACGATCCTTCACCTTCCTCTTTTGGCCTTTGGGCAGCTCCATTTTCTGGTAGAGCTCGTACTTCTTATCCACGCTAGGCCACACCTGACAGGAAAAGGAAGCCGATCAGGGTTTGGTTGACAAAGACTACGAAATGTGTCACCAGGTAAAAAGGTTCAGCCCGAGCTGCTGTCATCTTACCTCAGCAGTGATGGAGCCACACAGCTGGCTGATGAGAGTGAGCTGGTGCTGCTCCGTGTTGCCTTGCATTATGGGACTTCTGGTCCACATCTCTGCCATGATGCAGCCCCCTCCCCACAGGTCAATGGGGGGGCCGTAGTCTCGCTCACCTACCGAAAAAATAAACCAAATCATTTCTGTCACCGACTGAAAAATGAGGGGAAAATCTGAAGGCCGTTTGTCATTTTGACAGATTAACACAGAGAGCAACGTGCAACCACATGTAGACCACCTGCCATTAACTGCCATGTGGTTGAAAAAGATAAAAAGAGGGATTGATGCAGTCAGTTCCCACTCAGGAACTCCCATTCGGCTCTTCTCAGCACTGTGGAGTTGTATGCGGCAGTCTCAGTGGATAATGATGTGAATTGACTACAGTTTTCCTTCTAACCATCAACGGCTGGGTGGCGAAAAGCTAAGAGTCAGTTCCACTCACATCTGGTAAACAGGCAGGCTGAGTGAGTGAGGGGCTATAAGTACAGTTCGACAATTTTCATTTTGACAGACGATAAAGTGTAACAAGCTCTGTGCTAGTCTGTATTGAGCTTAAAGGAACACTGATGTTGTCATTTTTGATTGTGTCCTTTGTGAAGCATCAACGAATGCTATAAATTATTACTGAAGGCCTTTCTGATGTTTGATGAATGACAGATGCAGTGTCACTGCAGGAGCCAGCCAACAGTGAACTGCACTGCATCCATTCATGGCATTAACAGGAAGACAAAGGAGTGCGTGTGTATATTTCTGCCTGCGTGTTTTATGGTTGTCTCTTACCCAGCAGCAGCTCCGGGGGTCTGTACCACAGTGTGACCACGCGGTTGGTGTAGCGGTTCCCCTGGCTGTTCTTAGCCAGGCTGAAGGCTCGAGCCAGACCAAAGTCGGCCAGCTTCAGGACACCATCTCTGGTGATGAGCACGTTGGCTGCTTTCATGTCTCTGTGAAGAATCTGATCCGAGAGAAGGCCATATTATGATTAAGACCACAAGCCTTTTTAACAGGGAGATTAATAAAGAAATGAGGTGGCATTTCTACT